TCAGTCACGCAGTCAGGTGATTTTGCGAGTAGATCAGTCTGCCTGTTCATCCTTGATAGGAGGATAGAACTTTGTATCCCAGAGTGAGTTGTTTCATTTAGCGCATAGCGTGTTCGTGCTTTGTTTTATGCTTGTACTGTTTGTAACCCGTATGCTATGTTTTATGTATGCTTTCTTGCTTTTTGTTTTTGTTTTTGATTGTCTCTCTGTCAAGCAGAATTGTTTGACAGGGTTGGCAATGTGTTACTAACAAGATTTTAATTAGTAGAGCACATACACTAAACAACATTGACTCGTCCCGAGTCTCTAATAAAAGACGCGCTGGTGTAGGTATATGTATACCAGGAGTACATATACCCACTAGCATTAAAACACCTTAGTAAGATTTGGCTGATGTGTTTTTCCTTTGCATGTATGTTGCATCTCTCTCTTTGCTAGTTTAGATTGTACTGCATCCTGCACGCATACTAGGTTCACCCACGAGTACCTTTGGGCAGTACTCGTGGGAATGCAAAGTCATCTATCTATCTCTATTTGTGCATACCCCGTGTGCCAGATTTCAGACCCAGAGCCTCGAAGATGCATTTCCATCTGGCCCTTCTGTGTCCCTAATTCTTTTTTGATAGCCCCAATTGCATTTTCGGAGGAACACAACCAACTTTATTTTATCGATCCAGTACAACTATCCCAATACAGATTTGAACTCCGATTCTACCTCGATGCCTACTTTTCGTGGAGCTATCCGTTTAATTTTTCCCCGTACCCCAGTGTGATTCCTGAGATGACGCAGCCACCTCACCCGCATCTGGACCCCATCACCACCACCATCACTACCTTGCATGGTGCAGGCAAGTCGCCCCCACCGATCCATCGCATCATGCGATTACTCCGCCGACACGAACCGACGGAGGATCAAGCGTGGCGAAGAACCACCCAGTGCACCGCCATCTCCTACATCTCGAGCCACTGCACCTGGTCGCACGTTGCCTCGAGCCCGCTCATACTTGATGATCATCACCAGGATGATCGATGAGCGGATCAGTGTGCCCAGCAGCGCAGCGAGGAACCACCGCAATGCCACGAGGAACATGGCCTCGCCGAAGGAACTCGGCTCGATCTCGTCCAAACCGAAGAGGTAGTAGAGCGGCATTGTGTTTGTGTGTTGGAAGTGAGCTGCACTGCCGTCTTTTATAGCCCAACCCCGGTGTATGGTGAGCGAGGTCCAGGAAAACCGCTCGTCGCCCGATCTCCGGCGTCTAGGAGGCGAATCCACGAGTAGTGCCGACAAGGTGCTGGCCCGCGACATGAGTGCTCTCTGCACCGGTGCCGTGCACACTGCGCACTATGGCACTAGGGTCCTCGTCGCCCTAGAAGCTAGATACGCGCTGTGCCAAGCCGCACGCGAAGCAGCAGCAAAGGAGACGCAACAAGCTGGAGGTAGAAGGAGGCTGCCAGTGGGCCCTGGACCCATGTGTTAGCAGGTGAAACCACTGTTCACTGGGGTGCATCCAGCATTTTTCAGGAATTTGATCGCGAGTTCCCCTAGATGTGGAGATAATATTGTTTGCGCATATCTCTTCCTTGGTGTACCAATTATCGGTACCCCAACCCGTTTGTTTCTGACCAAAGGGTTAAATATTAACCCAGAGGTTTTTCTCCGGAGTGGCTATCATTTCATCTTTGCTGTAACCCTAGGAATCTCGAGGATGAGATTCATTTAAGGGGGGGAAGGTTTGTAACAGCCCCAAAATTGGGTTATCAATTTTTGTGTTGTTATTCTTTCCAAGCAATCATTTTTCAAATCTTTCTCATGAGTTTGCTGGATGACTCTAAGAATTCCTGTCATTTCCAGCCCTTCAAAACTTTGCTCATGCCTTTGTTAGTGAGCAAGTCCTCATTTGCATCATCTCAAACCCTCTCAAAACCCTAATTCCAAATTTTGGAATTTTGATATGTCCTTGGTGATTACAAAGGGGCCATCATTTCCCTTGACCTGTTGATCTTCCCAATTGTTCCTAGAGATCCTCGTACCTCTCTAAACCTTGGATATGCAAAAATATTGCTAAGTCCTACGCAATATTTTTCATTTGGGATTTATTCCTTTTCTTGTGTTTCTGAGGAATAAAATCCAAAGGCATAGCTAGCCATCTCCTAAATTCATGAAAATTTGCGGAGATGATACTTATGTCTTCCAAGCTGTGGCAAAAATATTGGCCATAATTAAATAAGGAAAATTGTCTTTTCCTATTTTAAGCAAATATTCAATTTCTGCCACCTTCTAAAGGAACTACCATTTTTATAGCAGGGAAAATTCCCAAATAATTTCTGGAGCTTGTCCTTGCTATATCTTCACTAGTTCCATCCAAATCTCATGATCCCTAGTTTAAAAATTGGGCACATGACCCAATGCAAGTTTCTGCCTTGTCTGAAATTTTGCAAAGGAAGTGCTTGATTCCTAAATCCATTTGAGCTGAAATTTTGCAGGGTGATTAACATTGATAAATCACCTTCGGATACCAAAAATCAGCTCAATCCTTTCATCTTATCTAGCACGTAGTCAAAGAAGAAGTCTGGGTCCTTTGCCTTTATGCTCCTCATAATGCCCACTGTCGTCTCAGCATCACCCTTTGTAATGAGCTTCATTTTCTCTCTGCAGCAAAGATTGTACACGTCCCGCCTAATAAGTCCGCATTTATCGTATGAACCGTACCTACTGATGAAGTTTTCCACCATTATATGCTTCCTGATTCCAGCCCCTTGCGTAGCCAGTATCTCTGCCCTCGTGCCATCTCCAATCCGTCTGCGTGACCACAAATATGGAACCTCATCGGGTCGAGCCATCACATGGTTGTGATCATCCACGAATGACGCGATGAACCAAACTCCACGTGCCCTGTAGATTTTCACCACCATCTGCGCACCGCACTCGCATCAAGTCTCGGGTATAAGCCTGCGGGTGTGACCCTCCATGGTTATGAATTTGCTCTGCCTTCTCCCTGCCCTAGAGAAAACTAACTGCCTGAACCGTATTATTCCTGAAGCACCCTTCCCTCGTTTCACCTTATCTCTCCTGATGCTGAACCCAGGCTCTTTGGCGTGCTTGTTGTAGAATATGAATGCATCCCCTTGTGAACGAAAAGTCATAGCCATGACCTTCCAATGTGTCTCCAACATCCGCTGCTGGTATTGAACGTCCTCAATGTCCATCTCTGCTTTGTCGTCGGCACCATCAGGACCATCTGAGCCCTCCAACAAAAGTACATATGAAACTACGTCAATTTTTATCATCTATTACAAACTACCGCGTGAGGTACAAAATGTTTGAACGAACCTGGCTCAAGTTATCGGCCCACGGTTCCTCCAAATTATTTTGCTCATTCTCAACGTCTACATCTTCCTGTAAATTAAAAACACACATAAATAATTACACATAATGTACTCTGTCAATTGAAAAATGGAATTAAATAGGCTTCACTTACATTTTCGCTCTTGCCCCATGTTCGTTATTTTCAAAATCCTATGAAGGTAAGATATCATATGATGACCATGATTCGTTATCACTGTTGTCATCATATTCATTACTAGGATCATTATCGGTCCGACTGACCTCATTCGTACCATTATCATCGGCCGTAAATGAGGTTTCTTCGTCCATTTAAACACATGTTACTACCAACACTGCACATCATTGAAAAACACATTATCCCATGTTAAATTCTAAGTTCATTCAGTGGGTCATATAGATGAATAAATTACAACATTTAAGCTATGAGGATTGAAAATGATTTCTTTCTAAACCTAACCTATCGAGATAGGTGGTACAAGGGTTATATGACAAACCTTCGGCGGCGGTGTCGACGTCGCCGGTCAACGCTGATGGGGCCTTGAGGCACGGACCTTCGGCGTGATGCAAGACGGCCGCGCCGTGGAAGAAGACGAATCCACCCACGGGATTACCGGACGGATCCGCGGCGGCGGACGAGTGAGGTCACTGCCGGCGTTGGACGAGTGCGGTGGCCGACATCTGACGTCGGGACGGTTAGAGGCGCCGTGGGACGTCGGGGTGGTTAGAGGCGGCGGACACGGCGTCGATGCGGAAAAATGCGACGTCCATGACGTGGCCGGCCACTTCCCTAATCGCCGACCGCGATGTGGGACACGGCAGGGTTGGAACGGGCGGCGTGGGAGATCGGGCTGGTTAGAGGCGGCGGACGCGGCAGCGATGCGGAAAACGGCCACATCCAAGACCTAGCCGGCCACCGGCGATGGCGGCCTTCCACTCGTTAGCCGGCCGGCGACGATCCAGATCAGCAGCCGCGTGATCGCGGGGCGGCAGGCCTGATCGATCGACGTTTTTTTTCCTCTCGACGGGCAGCAGGCGGGCTCGATCGACGAGTGCCCGTGCAAGTTTTTCTTCTTCTTACATACGTGTATTCGTACGGCCGGGGGTTCGCCTATGATACGGGGTGGGTATATGTTTATGACCAGTCTACCCTTCTATGTTTTGTTTGGGGGAGGGGTGGGTGTACCGAAGCACTTCTCTACCTTTGAACTATAGTTGTACTAACAACATTTGCATGTTATCTATGGATGAATTGTACTATTTTTATAATTATCCTGAGTGTCGTGGTTTTAGAAAAAAAATTAGGACGGATATTAGGGTACATAATTGGATGACCGATTCCGTGTCCAAGTAGTGTGTCCGTTTAGAGAACGGTGCTGGAGCTGATGCCCTTACATAGCAAAGGTAAAAATGAAACTAGAATCTTTGCCTGTGATGAAGCAAAGAACTTCCTTTTCCCTCTCTTCCTCCGAACATTCATTTCTATCAGGAAGGTCATCCCAGCAGCAAGGAAGGAATTGGTTCCAATCCAAGCTCTCACACTTTCGGCTACCTTTCTTATCCACTGCAACTCAGAGCATCTATAAAGTGACTCATTCCCATTTTTGCATCTCAAGAATCAAACACAGAGCACGCACACCAACTCGTGTGTGCCGAGATGGAGAGAGGCGCGGGTGGCGGCGACAATTCGACGAGGGCCGTCGGCATGTGTGACCGACTCCTGACCTTCCTCGCCAAGAACCTGTCGATGAACAGGCCGGGGAGCATCACCGAGGGGCCAAGAGACGCTGGCGCCGGCGGCGATCACAGGAATCACGCAGAGGAGGAAGACGACGAGTTCGCTGTGAAGATCGAGAAAGCCGAGTTCGAGTTCAGCCACGAGGAAGAAGGCCACAGTAGCTTCACGGCCACCATCCTAGAAGAGACAACTGCAGATGTGAGAGCAAGTGATCAGCACAAGCAGGCCACGGCGGAAGCCGGCCATCAGGTGGAGGCGACGGAAGCGGGCGCAGCGGCTGTGCAGGAGAAGAAGCCGAGGAGGTCCGTGACGATAAAGGAGGAGGCCGGCGGAGTCAAGGACAAGGCCAAGAAGTCGCTGTCAAAGAAGAGGCAATCGTCGTCGTTGAGCGGCGGCGGCCAGCTGGTCGGGGCAGGAGGGGAGGACCCGATCCCGAAGCCGCCGCTAAGGTGGGGGCTCCGGCCGAGGATGCCGGCGGCGAACCTGAGGGTGCCGTCCAACATCAATGAGAAGTCGTCCAACTTCATTGAGGAGCGCAGGAGGGGCTTCGGTGCCGGCGGCAAGCCGGGGAAATGAGCTGACGCTCCCAGCACGGTGGATGCTTGCAAGCTGCAATGTTAATACAGTACAGTAATTCATTCGCAAAATAAAATTAAAAAAATACAGTACAGTAATTAAGTGTGTGCGTGTGTGCGTTGGTTGTATCAAGAGAATTTCATGATGAGTCAATTACACCGGTGGTGCTAGAACTTGTGGTGAACGGTCATTTTGATGCTATAGAACTTGCGGCATACATCGAACTGGTGTAAAAACTTAGCTAGGTCGTGCAAATAATTTGGATACGAAGCGGCGCTGACTAGGCTCGCCTGCATGGCGCGGGTCCCGCTGTCAGTGACTAGAAAGCAAAAAGGAGGACGTGTGGTCTGATTTTTACAAAAACACTCTTGTTTTTTTTTGGGCACATTAGAGATCCTGCTCACGTTGGAGAGTTGGCATGATTTCCGCCTCTGTGAATAGTCCGTCCCGCCTGTTAGTACAATATGGAAATTTGAAAGAAAAACTTGAACTTGCTATCATATAGGTGGGAAACAACCGGTCATAGGCACTGCACCAACAACGTCATCACGCCTATAGTTCATCAGTCCTTTGTAATGTAGTAGAACAAAGTCGCTCCTGGAGTTTCTCTTTTTTAGAAATATGTAAAGGTATGTAAATTCTAATCTCACTAATTTATTTATTCTTGCACTATAAATAATACATAAAACGGAAGAAATTCTTTAGAAAATAGTTCACATATTATTTTAAATTATGCATATATCTAAAATAATATTTATGAAATCTAAAAATGTTTTTATACCGTAAAACAATACAAACAAAGCCAATTTTGCACTGCTTTTTTTTAGAAATTGTAGCATATATATAAGTAAAATATAGTACTCCCTCCGTCCCATAATGTACGACGCTTTTTGACACTACACTAGGGTCAAAAAGCGTCTTACATTATGGGACGGAGGGAGTACTATATTATAAGTAATATACATAAAAAATAAATCACATTATAAAATATTGGCATATTAATTTAAAATTTATCCATATGATTACATTATAAATTACAGAAATATTCATGTAATAATATGCATATAGAATAAAATATGTCAAATTTATTTTATATTTTTCTGTATATTTCAGTAAATAGTTATATAAGTTTAAAAATGTTCAGAGTTTTCACAAAATATTGATTGATGAAGTATATAAAAGTGTTCATGTTTTAAGAATTTTTGTTTTTATATACTTTTAAATAATATAATGGAATGCACTTCGTGCGGCCCATTTTGCACTATTACTTTTTATAAGTTTACATAATATATGTAAATTATAATCAAATTTTATCAATTATATATATATATCTAAAAAAAATTCATTTATTAAATAAAATTTATCCATATATTCGAATTATAAATTACAAAAAGCATTCACATTAGAATTTGCATAATTAACAAAACATAAAATTGATTTTTATTTTTTATATATTTAATAAAGGGTCATATATGTTTAAAATGTTCACAATTTTAATAAAATATTCATGCATATAAATTGCTCGTTTTTATAATTTAATTTATTTTGCTAATATGTATATTCTTTGTAACACATGATTATAATATAAACAGATTTTGTAAAAAAAATAACAATCCAAAATGGGTCCCACCAACTGCAGCCCACATAGGACGTGAAGGATATATACATGACGTAGGTTAACTATTGGCGGAAGCTAGCAAACCTACACGTTTCGATTCCCAGTGCTTTATTTTTTTTATAATTTATGACTGGCTGACATATGGAACCCATATGGCCAACATTTTGACACGTGTCAGGGGCTATTTCATTAGGACAATAATATTCGAGTTTCTTTTTGGTAAAATAATAGGCCGCATGTCATCTGTGGTGGCTGACAGCGAGACCTGCGCCATGCAAGTGAGCCTAGTCAGTGTCGCTTCCGTATCCAAACACGATTTGCACCGTATTTGCATGAGCGAGCTAAGTTTTTACACTAATTTGATGTATGTCACAAGTTCTAACACCAAAGTGACCGTTCACGACAAGTTCTAATACCACCGGTGTAATTGACTCTTTTATGATAACGTTTGAGGCATATTAGGTGTGTCATATTAGGTGGGTCATGGCTTCGCTAAGATTTCCAGGCCCAGGCGATCATGATGCGACTCCCCCGCCGCCACCTTTGCCGGACGCCGCTCCGGCCAAGTGTGGCCCCACCTCCGTGCCTCTGCCCACGCGGGGATGCCGGATCAGCAGGGGCCTCGTCCGCGTTGCAACCAGGAGTCCCCTGCCCACGTGGACTCCCAGGTCCCGTCGGTCTTGCCGTATCATACATGGAACGAGTGACCAGGAGTCCCCGGAACCACACGTCGGCAAGGGCCAGGGTTTCCTAGATCCAGCCGCAAGGAAACGTTGGACCAGGCCCACTTAAAGCCTCGTCCCGGGGCGCGCCAGAATCATAAACCACGTGAACAGGTCGATCTCGGAAGCTGAAGGAGGATTACAACTATTCATACCAGGGCGATAATAAGTATCTCGTCCACTTTGGATGTGAGGCAGACATGGTGCGTATTTTGCGGGGAGGGCCATGGCAGTACGAACACAACCCCTTGATCATTGAGGCATATGATGGGATGAGAAAGGTATCTGAGTACATGCTGGATAAAGTCAAAATATGGGTGAGGATTCGGATGTGCCAACGAATTGGAGGACTGAGGCAATAATGAAAACTCTATGTGTGAAGCTGGGAACGTTTTTGCAGGCCAAGATTGATGAGAACAGAGGGAACCTTTTTATTAGAGAAAAGGTCTTAGCCCGATTTTATAAATAAAGCCACACGGCAGCGTCACAAGCCCGAACATAAATACGAACAGTTGGCGAAACATCGCAAATCCACCGAAAAGAAAGCCTGGACCAGGCGAACGAAGGTTTTAAGAGATACATGGCAACCTGCCATACTCGGCGCGCAGACTGGAAGGAGAAAGAAGACATAAACCAAACGGACAAATCAGCGACAATCGAGATCAGACGGCAGGATCCAGCCCGGAGATGTGGGACACCGAAGCCCGAATTTTGGCGATGAGCAAGTCCAGGGCATCCCGATCTTCATCCTTAGTCAATAATCTCCACTGCTGCAAGAGTATACATAATTTGAAAAGCACGTCAGCAGGCTTAGATGGAAAGAACAGAGGGAACTACGTACACATTTAGGTCGCAATGCCAGTGAATCAGCAACTAGAAACATCGGTGGCGATGTTCGCTACACTATAAGAGAAGCACACTAAGGTCGAGTTGGAGATTCAGTATGAAAAACTGCCCAACTTCTATTATACCTACGGATACCTTGGCCACGAGGAGAAATCATGTGGGGACAAAGTTGAAGGGGGGAGGGTGCACCAACAGGGAAATTCATTGGCAAGCTGAGATGTTCACCGCCGTGGCGATTCATGCGGCTCTATGGTATAGTTCGAGCAAGGACTAATCCAATAGCCTACCATGGTCTCGAGATCTCAGTCGAGAGCTAGACCACTTCTGGGAGAGGTCATGGGAACCTCACTGTGCATACAGTGGAAGGACGCCAGGCCTGCCGCCATCGGGCTCATGTAGATCACAAGAGTGGGAACCTAGCCATTGACGAGATGTTAGCAGATCACATGAAGAACATATCAGGAAGGGACAAAGGTGGGATGAATGAGCAGCACTCTGCATAAGACGTCCACCAACATACAACATCATTCCATCCCAAGGAGCTCGGGCATCATACCGGCTCTACGGGACCACTCCAATGAGGTGGAGATGGCCAACGCAGAGCTGCCAAACACCTCTTCGCTGGGCAAGACGAACGCGGGACATGAGGTCTTGTCACCTATGCAAGGAGACGTGGGAGAGGAGTCCATGGTGTTGTACACTAATGCGGCCACCTCGGCCGATTGTGCTCTTTCAGGTACACCAAAGATGAGAAGAATTGAGAAGCAGGAGGGGCCGCACACTTATCCAGCGGGAGAGGACCGTAATCAAGACATGGTGGAGGATACCAACACATCGGAGGCAGTCTGCCAGGGGGCCGCCGAGAAACTAACGGGGCAAATGATGCCCCGTCAGAAGCAATGCATATAATAAGTTGGAACTGCCCGGAGGGGGGGGGGGGCGGGAACCCCCGGATAGTTCATGATCTCGTGAGTCTTGTACATGCTTGTTCCCCTAACATTGTTTTTCTTTGTGAAACTAGATAGTCAGAAAAGAAAATGAGTAAGTATCATGCTCGTTTAGGTTTTGATGCATCAGATAGTGTTGGTCTTAGTGGAAGTCTTGCCTTGTATTGGCATGAATCTTTGTGTTTGGATGTAAAGACAATAAATGAGAGATATATTGATGCGTAAGTGATGAATGGCACGGGCGATCCACTCTGGAGGCTTAATTACTTATGTCTATGGCGAGCCCCGAAAGGAGGACCGACATCGTATGTGGTCCATCCTCCATGATCTTCACCGACAAGCCAACTTGCCATGGGCAGTGACTGGTGACTTCTACGAGGCCATGTGGGGCTTTAGACACTTTTCGGCAACACCAAGATCGGCAGGACAGATGATCGATTTCTGTGATGTGCTTGAAGTTTGGCCTGGGTGATCTTGGTTTTGCAAGGCTTCCCTATACATATGATAATCGGCGCGGGGCGGGTGAACATCAAGGTCCGCCTGGATGTGGCAAATAACTCCCAGAGGGATCTGTTTGCGCATGCAAAGGTGTAGCACTAGGTGGCTCCCAGTTTGGACCACCTTCCTATTCCGCTTCCCTCCTATGTCACCCCGACTTAGAGAGGCCGGAACGCCCCATATCCCAGCCTAGAGATCAAGTCTTCTGGAATACATCACTGCTTGGCATAGAATAAATCAGTTCTTATTACAGATACTCGAGGTACAAGGATTCTGATATAACAACGGATCACAGAGGCACGACGACACTACGCCTACCAAGGCAGCTCTATGCTAGCAGCGGAACAACTCATGGAAGTGGAATACCTT